TTCTCCATCTGTTTGTGTCCTCTCTTATTTTGTTGAGCAGTGGTTTGTAGTTCTCCTTGAAGAGGTCCTTACGTTCCTTGTTAGTTGTATTCCCAGGTATTTTATTCTCTTTGTAGCAGTTGTGACTGGCAGTTCGTTCTTGATTTGGCTCTCTTTTTTTTTTTTTTTTTGGGGACGGAGTTTCGCTCTTGTTACCCAGGCTGGAGTGCAATGGCGCGATCTCGGCTCACCGCAACCTCCGTCTCCTGGGTTCAGGCAATTCTCCTGCCTCAGCCTCCTGAGTAGCTGGGATTACAGGCACGCGCCACCATGCCCAGCTAATTTTTTGTATTTTTAGTAGAGACGGGGTTTCACCGTGTTGACCAGGATGGTCTCGATCTCTTGACCTCGTGATCCACCTGCCTCGGCCTCCCAAAGTGCTGGGATTACAGGCTTGAGCCACCGCGCCCGGCCTTGATTTGGCTCTCTTTAAGTCTGTTATTGGTGTATAGGAATGCTTGTGATTTTTGCACATTGATTTTGTATCCTGAGACTTTGCTGAAGTTATACTACAGTATTAATTCATTCATCTACTTAAGGACATCTTGGTTGCTTCCTTTAAGATTTTTTCCAAGTTTTGGCAGTTACAAATAAAGCTGCTATAAACATCTATGTTCTGGATTTTATGTATACATAAGTTTATAACTTCCTTGGTGAGATGCTTATATGATTTGACTGTGTCCCCACCCACATCTCATCTTGAATTCCCATGTGTTGTGGGAAGTAGTTGAATAACTGGGGCAGGTCTTTTCCATGCTGTTCTTGTGATAGTGAATAAGTCTTATATGTCTCACAAGATATGATGGTTTTAAAAAGAGGAGTTCCCTGTACAGGCACTCTCTCTTTGCCTGCCACCATCCATGTAAGATGTGACTTGCTCTTCCTTGCCTTCCACCATGATTATGAGGCCTCCCCAGCCATGTGGAACTGTAAGTTGATTAAACCTCTTTATTTTGTAAATTGCCAGTCTTGGGTGTGTCTTTATCAGTAGCATGAAAATTGACTAATACAGTAAATCGGTACCAGGAGTGGGGTGCTACAGTAGATACCCAAAAATGTGGAAGCCACTTTGGAACTGGCTAACAGGCAAGAGTTAGAACGGTTTAGAGGGCTCAGGAGAAGACAGGAAAATGTGGGAAAGTTTGGAACTCCCTAGAGACTTGTTGAATGGCTTTGACCAAAATGCTGATAATGATATGGACAATGAAATCAAGGCTGAGGTGTTCTCAGATGGAGATGAGGAACTTGTTGGGAACCAGAGCAAGAGTGACTCTTGTTATGTTTCAGCAAACAGAATGGTGACATTTTGTCCCTGCCTTTCAGATTTGGGGAACTTTGAACTTGAGAGAGAGGATTTAGGGTATCTGGCAGAAGAAATTTTTAAGCAACAAAGTATTCAAGAGGTGACTTGGGTGCCATTAAAGGCATTCAGTTTTAAAAGGGAGACAGCATAAAATTTCAGAAAATTTGCAGCTTGATGTGCAATAGAAAAGAAAATCCCATTTTCTGAGGAGAAATTCAAGCTGGCTGTAGAAATTTGCATAAGTAACCAGGAGGTGAATGTTAATCCCCAAGACAGTGGGGAAAATGTCTCCAGGGCGTGTCAGAGGTCTTCACAGCAGCCCCTCTCATCACTGGCCCAGAGGCCTAGGAGGAAAACATGGTTTCATGAGTCAGGTCCAGGGTCCCCATGCTGTGTGCAGCCTAGGGACTTGGTACCTTATGTCTCAGCTGCTCCAGCCATGGCTGAAAGGGGCCAATGTAGAGCTTGGGCCCTGGCTTCAGAGGGTGCAAGCCCCAAGCCTTTTCAGCCTTCAGGTGAGAAGATATATGGAAACACCTGGATGCCCAGGCAGAAGTTTGCCACAGGGATGGGACCTTCATGGAGAACCTCTGCTAGGGCAGTGCACAAGGGAAATGTGGGGTCAGAGCCCCCACACAGAGTCCCTGCTGGGGTACCACCTAGTAGAGTTATGTGAAGAGGGCCACTGTCCTCCAGACCCCAGAATGGTAGATCCATTGACGGCTTGTGCCATGCATGTCTGAAGAAGCCACAGACGCTCAATGCCAGCCTGTGAAAGCAGCCGGAGGGGAAGCGGTACCCAGCAGAGCTACAGGGGTGGAGCTGCCCAAGACCATGGAAACCCATCTGTTACATCAGCATGACCCAGTTGTGAGACATGGATTCAAAGGAAATCATTTTGGAGCTTTAAGATTTGACTGCCCTGCCTTATTTCGGACTTGCATGCGGCCTGTAGCCCCTTTCTGTTGGCCAGTTTCTCCCATTTGGAATGGCTGTATTTACTCAAGGCCTATATCCGCATTGTATGTAGGGAGTAACTCACTTGGTTTTGATTTTACAGGCTCACAGGCAGAAGGGACTTGCCTTACCTCAGATGAGATGTTGGACTATGGACTTTTGATTTAATGATGAAATAAGTTAAGACTTTGTGGGGGGACTGTTGGGAAGGCATGATTGGTTTTGAAATGTAAGGACAGGAGATTTGGGAGGGGCCAGGGGCGGAATGATATGGTTTGACTGTTCCCAACCCAATCTCATCTTGAATTCCCACATTTTGTGGGAGGGACCCAGTAGGAGGTAGTTGAATCATGGGGGCAGGTCTTTCTCCTGCTGTTCTCATGATAATGAATAAGTATCACAAGATATGTTGGTTTTAAAAAGAGGAGTTCACCTGCAGAAGCTCTCTCTCTTTGCCTGCCACCATCCATGTAAGATGTAACTTGCTCCCCCTTGCCTTCCGCCATGATTGTGAGGCCTCCCTAGCCATGTGGAACTATAAGTCGATTAAACCTCTTTCTTTTGTAAATTGCCAGTCTTGGGTATGTCTTTATCAGCAAGGTGAAAATGGATGAATACAAATGCTAAACAACATGATTGCTAGATCAAATGGTAAAATTGTTTACTTTTGTTAGAGGCTGCCAAATTGTCCTCCGGAGTGGCTATATCATCTTGCAGTGAAAGAGAGTTCCTGTTACTCTACATCCTCACCAACATTTGGTGCTGTCAGTGTTCTGATTTTGGCTATTCTAATATATGTGGTGGTATCTTGTTTTTATTTGATGACATATGATGTGGAGCAACTTGTTATATTCTTATTTGCCATCTGTATATCTTTTTTGGTGAAGTATGTATTAAGTCTTTTTTTTTTTTTTGAGACGGAGTTTCGCTCTTGTTACCCAGGCTGGAGTGCAATGGCTCGATCTCGGCTCACCGCAACCTCCGCCTCCCGGGTTCAGGCAATTCTCCTGCCCCAGCCTCCTGAGTCGCTGTGATTACAGGCACGCGCCACCATGCCCAGCTGATTTTTTGTATTTTTAGTAGAGACAGGGTTTCACCATGTTGACCAGGATGGTCTTGATCTCTTGACCTCGTGATCCACCTGCCTCGGCCTCCCACAGTGCTGTGATTACAGACTTGAACCACCGCGCCCGGCCTGTATTAAGTCTTAAACCCATTTTTTGATCAAGTTTTTTTTTACTTTTGAGCTTTAAAAATTCTTTGTATATTTTGGATACAAGTCCTTTATCAGTTGTGTCTTTAACAAATACTTTCCCCCAGTCTGTGGCTTGTCGTCTTATTTTCTTGACATTGTCATTTGCAGAACTTTTTACTTTTAATGAAGTCCAATATCAATTATTTTCTTTCGTGGATCATGCCTTTGGTGTTATATCTAAAAAGTCACTGCCGTACCCTAGGTTATTTATTTCTCTGTTAGCTTCTAGGGGTGTTATAGTTTTGCATTTTACATTTAGGCCCGTGATCAATTTTGAGTTAATTCTTGTGAAGAGTATAAGGTCTGTGTCTAGATTATTTGCATGTGCATGGCCAGTTATAGCACCATTTGTTGAAAAGGCTATCTTTTCTCTATTGTGTTGCTTTTCCTCTTCTGTCAAAAATCAGTTAACTATTTATGTGGGTTTAGTTCTGGGCTCTCTGTTCTCTTCCATTGATCTATTTGTTCTTTCGCCAATATCACGTTGTCTTGATTATTATAGCTTTATAGTAAGTCTTTTAGTCAGGCAGTGTCAAGTCCTCCAACTTTGTTCTCCTTCAATATTGTATTGGCTATGCTATCCTGGGTCTTTTGTCTCTTCATATAACCTTTAGAGTCATTTTGTCAGTATTCACAAAATAGCATGCTGGGATACTGATTGAGATTGCATTGAATCTGTACATCAAGTTGGGAAGAATGGACATCTTGACAGTATTTAGTCTTTCTGTCCGTGAACCTGGGCTATTTTTCCACTGATTTCATTCTTTGATATCATTTATCAAGATTATGTAATTTTCCTTGTATAGATCTTATACATATTTTCTCCTAAATATTTTGTTTTGCTGCGGCTAATATAAATAGTACTGTTTTTTTTGTTTGTTTGTTTGTTTGTTTGTTTGTTTTTGAGACGGAGTTTCGCTCTTGTTACCCAGGCTGGAGTGCAATGGCGCGATCTTAGCTCACCGCAACCTCCGCCTCCCGAGTTCAGGCAATTCTCCTGCCCCAGCCTCCTGAGTCGCTGGGATTACAGGCACACGCCACCATGCCCAGCTAATTTTTTGTATTTTTAGTAGAGACGGGGTTTCACCATGTTGACCAGGATGGTCTCGATCTCTTGACCTCGTGATCCACCCGCCTCGGCCTCCCACAGTGCTGGGATTACAGGCTTGAGCCACCGTGCCCGGCCAGTACTGTGTTTTTAATTTCAAATTCCACTTGCTCGTTTCTGTATATAGGAACACAGTTGACTACAGTATGTTAACTTTGTATATCACAATCTTACTGTAATTGTTTATTGGTTCCAAGAGTATTTTTTTTTTAAGGAAGGAAGATGCCAGTTTTATTTAAACACAAAACTTGCACATAAGCTGTCTATTCATTTTCTTTGCTATGCAGCCTGGCATTGGGGTTGGTGACTCTGATGGCCAACTGGGCAGCTCTTTCCACAATGGCTTTGCTGTTCTTGGAGGAAACATTGTGAGTGATCTCAGCATAGTAAGATTTGTTGCACATCAACAGCACTTCCAGCTCCTTGACGTTGTGAACCAGGAACTTCCGGAAGCCACTGGGCAGCATGTGCTTTGTTTTCTTGTTGCTCCTATAACCAGTGTCAGGCATCAAGATCTGGCCCTCGAACCTTCTACGAACCCTGTTGTCAATACCTCTGGGTTTAATTTTAACATATCCGTCTGACTGGTGCTGTGCTGGAAGCAGGAGGGGATGCTTGTCCGGTATTTACTGAGAAACCTGATCACTCCTGGAGCTGAATCTCACAGTATTAGAGGGGAGCCCCCTCTGCCTGAGTGCCCTGGAGTTTTTACCTTTCAGAGTTGTTAAACTGAGTCTGTAGCAATTTGTCAGTTACAATTAAGGTTTTCTCCTTTTTTTTTTTTTTGAGACTGAGTCTTGGTCTGTCACCAGGCTGGAGTGCAGTGGTGTGATCTCAGCTCACTGCAACCTCTGCTTTCCAGGTTCAAGTGATTCCCCTGCCTCAGCCTCCAGAGTAGCTGGGACTATAGGTGCACGCCATCACGCCCAGCTAATTTTTTTGTATTTTAGTAGAGATGGGGTTTCACCATGTTGGCCAGGATGATCTCAATCTCCTGACCTCGTGATCTGCCCGCCTCAGCCTCTCAAAGTGCTGGGATTACAGGCATGAGACACCTCGCCTGGCTGTTGCTTTTTAAAGGTAGATTGGAAAGCATGTTTCGTATGTGCGTAGGATGATCACCAGAGGGGTAGAGATTGATGGGACAGAATAAATAGAAGAGTCAACTGAAAGAGCAGGCTGAGGTGGGGAGGTGAGCAGGAGAGAGGGTTGTGAGGACAGATGGATATAGCTACAGGCATATCCAGATTTGGTTTATAAAGCCAAGGGGTGGAAGCAACTGAAATATCTGCTGGAGATGGATGGATAAGGAAGATCTGGCAAATCCTTACAGTGGAATAGTACTCAGCCTTCAAAAGGAAGGGAGTCCTGTCACATGCTCTGCAGCATGAACGAACCTGGAGGACATTACGCTATGTGAAATAGTTCTACCACAAAAAGACAAATACCATGTGAAACTCTTACAAACAGAAAGCAGAGTGATGGCTGCAGGAGGGGTGGGGTGAGGTGAAATAGGGCTGTTGTTCTTAGATACAGTTTCACTTTTGCAAGATGAAAAAGTTCAGAAGATCTACACTATCTAGTCATCCCTTGGTATCTGGGGACTGGTTCTAGGACCCCGTCTTTCAGACACCAGAATCCGTGGATGCTTAAGTCTCTGATGTAAAATGGGGCACTTTAACCTTAATAGTGTAAGGTAACAACAACAACACAAGGAAAACGGTGGGGGGATACCATTTGCATGTAACCTGCCCACATCCTCTCTTATGCTTTAAATTATCTCCAGATTACTTCTAATACCTAATACAGTGTAAATGCTTTATAAATAGTTGTTACACTGTATTGTTTAGGAAATAATGACAAGAAAACCTGTGTATGTGCAGCACAGACACGGCCATCCTCGACTTAGTTGTACAGTACCTGTCAGCAACCACATAACACTTGATCCATGGCTGGCGGAGTCAGCCTGTGAAACACTCCTGCAGTGGGACTGAGGGCTCACTTACACTGACAAATGGTTAAGATGGTAAATTTTATCCATTTTGGGCCATAATAAAAGAAGAAGGCATGACTCTGTTGGCCCCGCTTTCTCCTTAAACCTCAGCTGGGCTGTCAGCAGAGAGTGAGGGTGACACCTTGGTGGGTATAGGTGGTCTGGGAGTGTGGTAGCTCAGTGCAGCTACTACTGGGCTCGTGGCAGGCATTGCAGGGGTTCTCGGGTCAGGCAGCCGTTGAAGCTCAGCAACTGGACCACCCCCCACCTCCTTTAACAAGTCAGACTTCAAGGGTGTGCAGCCCTCCTTGGAATCAGAATTCTCTTCTTGGAGTTATTTAGAATTCTCAGGCAGGCCCTGGCTCCTCTTCCTCCAGTTCTGTGATGGGTTGGAGTGGACTATTTTTGGTACAACTAATATACTGGAACCATGCATTTTTTATTAAGATCTAATATTTAACTTGCTAGATTTTCTGGTAGAAAAGCTTTGGGCTAGTAAAATGAGTCTCAGGCTTTTTTTATTGGGAAATGAGGGGGAAGCTGTTTAAGAATGAGGAGAAATTTTATCTGATTTTAGAGGTTTTTATGGACTCTTGCCCAGTTAGATTTGACCTGACCTGGGAAAATAATGATCACCTCATGCTCACATAAACAAGCTGGCTGCAGGAGCAAGGAGGCTCAGGGCCCTGGGCGCTGCTTATCTCACCAACCTTCCACCCCTGGCAAGAACTCTGAGCAGGGCTTGGTGCAGACCTTTTCATCAAGGTTCTGACATTAAGACATACTTCCCACCCTTTCTGCAGTTATAACAACATGTTCGTGGGAGCCGATATCTCAGGAGGACTTTATTGTGCCCCAAGGCATTTTTTTTTGTTCCTTTTTCTTTTTTTTGTTTTAGTTATTAGAACTTTTCCGAAAATAAAACCTTGGGTAGAAACATATATAAAATTAATTTACATATGTGAAAAAAAAGCCCAGAGCTGCCCTTATGAAAGTATGGGTGGTGGTGTGGCCAGGCCTGTGTCTGTTCTGCCAACACACACCCTCACCCTAGACCCCTAAGTAAGCTCTGAGATGCCTCTAGAGTATACTTCAGATTTGAAAACTGCAGCTCCAGGGCCATGTAAGGAATTTGCATTCTCTATAATCTCTTTTTTACCATTGAGATATAATTGAAATAGAGTAAATTTACCCTTTTTAGTATCCAGTTCAACACGTAATTGTGTATCTGTCACCATAATCAAGATGGGAACCGTTCCATCCCCACCCTCCAGAACTCCACTGCATCCTTTTATAGCCCCATCCTTCCCCGACCCTCAGCCCCTGGCAACTACTTATCACTTTTCTTTCCCTATAATTGTGCCTGTTTCCAGATGCCATATAAATGGAATCATACACCTGGCTTTTGAGTTAGACCTCTTTTACTTAACATAATGTATTTGTTCCTTTTAGGATTGTATCTTTAAGGAAAACATATTTTTATACCCAAGATATTTTGAGCTCGAAAAGAATGCTTTTGGGCCGGGTATGGTGTTTCACACCTGTAATCCCAGCACTTTGGGAGGCTGAAGTGGGCAGATCATGAGGTTAGGAGATCGAGACCATCCTGGCCAACACTGTGAAACTCTGTCTCTACTAAAAATACAAAAATTAGTTGAGCGTGGTGTCGTTTTCCTGTAATCCTAACTACTTGGGAGGCTGAGGCAGGAGAATCACTTGAACCAGGGAGTTGGGAGGTTGCAGTGAACCAAGGCTGTGCCACTGTACTCCAGCCTGGCGACAGAGTGAGACTCCGTTTCAAAAACCAAGAAAACAGAAAGAAAATGAATACTTTTAAAACATTGATTTTTATGTATTTACAGGTTGCAAGTGCAGGTTTCTTACATGCGGATATTGCATAGTGGTGAAGTCTGGGTGTTTAGTGTTACCATCATCTGAAGAGTAAACATTGTACCCAACAGGCATTTTTCCAACCCTCACCCCCCCCAACCTCCCACCTTTCATAGTACAGTGTCTGTTATTCCACTCTGGATGGCCATGCACACTCATTGTTGAGCTCCCGCTTATAAGAACCTGCAGTATTTGACTTTCTGTTCCTCAGTTATTTCACTGAGAATAATAGCCTCCAGTTCCATCCATGTTGCTGCAAAAGATATGATTTTTTCTTTTTTCTTTTTTTTTTGTGGCTGAGTAATATTCCATGGTATATATGTGCCTCATTTTCTTTATCGAATCTGGTGTTGAAGGATGCTTAGGTTAATTTCATATTTTTGCTACTGTGAATAGTGCTGCAATAAACATGTGAGCGCAGGTATGTTTTTTATATAATGATTCCTTTCCCTTTGGATATATAGTCAGTAGTGGGATTGCTGGTTTGAATGGTAGTTAAGATAAACACTTTTTAAAACTAGAATATTCTAGTCGAGGTTCTCTTGGGATCCAGTTGGTTTTCTGTACTCTTCTTATGTTGAAATTGATGCTGCCCACAGTTGCTTGTTTGGCTTCCTGGAAAAATACTAAAGGAACTGCAGTGTGAATGTGACCTGCCGAATAAGGGCGGCTCACTTACCTGTGTTTTCAGGGCATGACGTCGCATTCTCTGCCCAAAGCCTGCCATACACTGTGACTTCAGTCAGCAGCTATTGCCAGTGAACGTTTCTGTGGACTCTATTTGTATTCCTGTAGGCTCATCAGATTCAAGAGATGTTTCCCCAGGTTCCATACCATCTAGTGCTGCAGGACCTCCAGCTGACACGCTCAGTGGAAATAACAACAGACAACATTTTAGAAGGACGGATCCAAGTACCTTTTCCTACACAGGTAAAACAGGGATTTTAAAGCATGACAAATGGATTCTGTCTTCACAAAGATTGAATACTCTAGGTTAACTGTTTTAGTTACTTAACAGCTGAATATTATTTATGACTTAGTGAAGGGTTTCTGCAAACTCCCTCACTTTCCCTAATTAATAACTGAGAACAGACTCACTGAAGATAAGGTGAGTATTTGAGTAACTTTTTGTTCAGACATGCGCTCTAAACCAGCCTGCCCTTGCCAGTCTAGGAAGTCATAGTATTAGTTCCTATTGGACAAAGACTGACACTTTTTTTCTTTGAAGGGCAGATAATAAATATTTTAGGCCCCATAATCTTTGTTGCTTCTCAGCTCTGTTGTCATAGTAGTACAGCAGCCATGGATAGTATTTAAGTAAATGAGCAAGACTGTGTTCCAATAAAACTTTATTTACAAACATAATTAGAGTAGTGAACTGGGCCTTCAGGCTGTAGTTTGCCAACACCCTGCTCCAGGAGCTAGTGCCATCTGTCCCTAGTTGGCTTTGCACACTGGTGTGGTGTTCTACTAGCTACCATTCATCTATCTGAAGTGGTATTTTTGGTTTTTAAAAAGGTCAGATCTCCACTTTGATGGGTACAAGAAGTATTAATATATATGAGCCTTCTGGCAGGACCACAGAATTTGTTTATGACCAGGGAATAATCTACCCCAAATTATTGTTTTAGTATGTAAAAATATGTGGGAATCTATTAATAAAATTCTAAAACCTGAAACTCTCTGAAGCGGGAAAGAGCACAGACTTAGTCACATGGGCGGACATATTAGATGTGATTCCCGGTTCTCAGCTATTTGACCTGGCTTTGACTGTGGATTTCCCCAGAAGCAGACCCTGGGACAAGGATTTGAATGCACGTAGTTAAATTTGGGAAGTGGCCACAGGAATCACAGGTTATGGGTAGGGACATGACCTGGGGAAAGGAGAGTGGCCAGTAATGGGTTTGTTATCAAGCAAGTTACCACCATGGGTGACTGAAGCTCCTTCCCATTTGGTGCCTCTGGGATACAGCGTAGAACATATGCCTCGCGGGAGATGAGGAGCTAGGGTGTTCCTAGAGTTATTCCCTTCCTCACTGGTTGAGGGCTGCCTCTGGAGTGGCTGAATTACCTCATGTAGCCAGAGAAAGTCCTCAGGCAATGAAATACAGACACCAGCCAGCCAGCAAGCACTGAGGCAGCGAGACCTGAGGGGTGCTGGCCGGTCCCCAGAGTGTCTGCAGCATTGTGTAGATCCTAAACTGGCTAGAAGGAGAGTAACAGCAGCACCTGTTTCACAGGATGTGAAGATCAATAGTCACGTCCCGGGTTTCCGTGGTGCCATGTGTGAAGTTAGGTGTTCAGTCAGTGTTATCTGCCGTTATCATTGTTTTCGTTGTCTCGTTACTGTTACTCAAGAGGAAACTAAATGTGGGGCCGGTTGACTCTCACTGACTCTCAGACGTGGAATTCTAGGTTAGGCCCCAGCCTCCTTTGTCTTGCTTTTCATCTTTAAGGCAATTTAATTTCTGTGATGCTGTAGACTTCCTTCAGGTTACAGGCTGGGTTGGGTACCACAGCTCCCTCTGCCCTCCAGGGTTTCCCTGAGTCTGATCTGATTTCTGAGTGACTGTGGACTGTGTGGTGCTTTTTCTCTTCCAGCGGTCCGATAGTATCAGACCTGCATTGAACAGTCCCGTGGAAAGGCCAAGCAGTGACCAGGAAGAGGGAGAAACTTCTGCTCAGGTAAGACCCGCACTCTAGCAAGGGTGAGTTCCTGGAACTGTGGAGGGGAATGTGGTCCTGGCAGTGGTCTTCCTCAGTCCTGATGCCTGTGAGGCTGAGGACAAGAGTACAAAAGAAACTGTGCTGTATCTGCCCCAAAGATGAAGGGCAGCAAATCAGGCTGTATCCGTGGTGTGGCCCGTGTTTCCACCCAGGGCTGGCAGCCACTCCCTGGGTATTGCCCTCATGTGCTGGAGGAGAAAGGGGCCGTGCTTCCCTGGGCCAGCCCTGCGACCTTGAGCCTGGGTGAGAGCCCGTGGAAGGGCAGAAAGAAGCTGGGCTCGGGACTGGGAGGGTGCCTGGACCCATCTAAACCCAGATGGGGATGGCCTAGGGCAAGCTCTCCAGGAGCTGAGGCCATCGAGATGCCCTCCCCTGCACCTCACCTGTCCAACTCAGGATTTCCAGATACTTCATGCATTTTGCAAAACAAACTGCCTGAGCTGGCTGGGGCTGGGGGAAGCATGGCTTTCTTGAGAACCAGATCTGTCTGGTGATCCACTTTGGGTGCCTCGAGGTGGCCACCCTAACCCCAAGCAGCAGGGCCGAGGCACCACCCTCCCTCGCCCATGCCCTCCGCCCTTCACCTGCGTCCCTAGTTCCCACTCCTCTTCTGTGATCCCATTCACTTCCTTAGTTTTACCATGTCAGAGCACTTTCTTGTGCAACCACAAATAAAAATTGGACAACCCCGCCTTTGCATTTCTGTGTTTGTGCTGTGAGGGGCTTTCCTGCATGTGGGCTTGGGTCTAGGGTGCTGCTGCCTTCCTTACCAGGGTGCAAAAGGTCTCTTCTAGAAGCACTGGTAAGTGACACAAGCTTTCACCTCTTGTGTTTTTCTCTACAAATAGCAAACAGTAAAAGCTACTAGGATTTCTTCAAATCTGTTGCTGGGTTAAGATTTTCATATCCACATCTGTAATTGGATTATGCGTCATTTGTGAAATGGTGTATGGCTTCTAAGGAAGGGGTCCATGTCTGCATTTCCAGTTTTTGGATAGCTGGCGAAGCTGAGATAGGGACACCAGATGGGCTTGGGGGCATCTGTGGGTACAGCACATTCAGTCTCCGGATTTTTCCACCTCTGCTTCTAGAGTTAGCATGAAGATTTCTAAAATATATATATATTTTAGAAAGTATATGTTTCACAAGGAATCTTGCTGTGCAACATTTTTGGTCATTTGTGAAGAAATAACAAGTCCTTGAATACAATCAGTTAACAGAAACTTCAGTGTAGCCCAGTAAGCTTGTCAGCTCCACTCGCCCTCCATGCTGGTCTCTGCCCTGCCCCCGCTCACACTGGTAATAGTCAGGCTTGCAGCTACACAGAGCAGGGGCTGTGGTGGGCTGCTCCTGTCTTTCCAACGTCTCCTTGCCCCCTCACTTACCGTTCTTCCTTTCTTTCTTTTCTTTCCTTCTTTCTTTTCTTTCTTTCTTTCTTGACAGGGTCTCGCTCTGTTCAGGTTGGAGTGCAGTGGCATGATCTCTGCTCACTCCAGTCTCCACCTCCAGGGTTCAAGTAATTCTCCTGCCTCAGCCTTCCGAGTAGCTGGGACTACAGGCACGCACCACCACATCCAGCTAATTTTTGTATTTTTAGTAAAAACAGCTAATTTTTGTTTTACCATGTTGGCCAGGATAGTCTTGATCTCTTGACCTTGTGATGCGCCCGCTTCAGCCTCCCAAAGTGTTGGGATTACAGGTGTGAGCCACCGCGCCCACCCTCACCATTCCTTCTAACCTGCTCTAGGCTCAGGCTTAGAGGAGAGGGTTAGGACAGGACAGTGAGACCCCAGCCTGTGTGTGTGTGTATATATATGTAGATGTTGTGCCCCATCTGGCCCCAGAAACCTCAAATATACTTCCTTTGACCCTAGGTTGGCTGTTGATGACCACTCCCACCTTCATGGGTGTCTCATCATCTCTCCAAGTGGTCCTTTTGGGCAGAGTTGTTTTTAACAACCTTAGGCTGGTTCCCTCGAGCAGGAGCCCCGTCCAAGCTCCAGGACACACAGTGTTAACTGGAGTCAGTGGAAGGCAAAAGTGTTGCCATCACAGCTCCCCGCTGCCCTGTTTTTTTATTGACTACTCCCAGTTTCTTTCGGTAGATTTCTCAGGTGTATGCAGCCACCAGTTCCCCCGTTCCCTGACTCTAGGAGATACGAGTGGTTCTCTTGAAGTTCCCTTTTGAGCTGAAGGCAGGAAGAAGTGAGGGTGGGTCTGGCGGGAACTCTGAAGTAAAACAGCCTGCACCTCAGCTGTACCCACCTCCACCCTGTCACAGCCTAGAAGCGGGCAATGGGCTGACCCTGGCTAGCCCAGGTCTGCATCTGGGAGCATGAGCAGCACAGATGGTCGGGCATCTGCTAGGACACAGGGGTGCCTGGGCATTGTCGTGGACTTTGGAGCTTCAGCCAAAGCCAAGGAACCATATAATCCATCCTGTCTCTTAGATACTTAGGGCTGGGCACAGTGACTCTCACCTGTTGTCCCAGCACTTTAGGAGGCTGAGGTAGGTAGATCGCTTGAGCCTAGGAGTTTAAGACCAGCCTGGGTAACATAGCAAAACCCTGCCTCTACAAAAAATACAAAAATTAGCCAGGTGTTGTGGCATGAGCTTATAGTCCCAGCTACTTGGGAAGCTAAGGTGGTAGGATCACCTGAGCCTGGGGAGGTTGAGGCCGCGGTGAGCCGAGATTGCGCCACTGCTTCCCAGCCTGGGTGACAGAGTGAGACCCTGTCTATAAAGAAAATAAATAAATAGCTGCTTAGCATTTATTGTTTTTACCTCTGTTTTCAGAGTCAATTGAGGTTATAAAATTTGTGCAGAAGATTTGATAAGACTGTTTTACATTTTTGAGCAATTAGTAGAAGTGAACAGAAAATTCCCTGTGATGTAAACTCACAGTTGACGTGTTGGTAGCATATTCTGAGAGTGCAGCTTGAAGGTGCTTATGTTCTTCATGCTGGTAATCGTTTACTGAGCCCTCTGATGTGGAACATTCTGTGAGTCAGGTCTTGTTCTTGGTGCTACTCAAGCCGTAGGCAGCAGGCCTGCTCCGTTACCGGTAGCTTATGGTTCCTATTTCCTGCCTCCCTGCTTGGCAGCAGCCCACCCTTTAAATCCAGAACAACCTTGTCTGGGGTGCCCTGTAGGCAGGGAACCTGCTTAGGAGGGAGGCCTGTGTTCACAGCTACCTCTTTGCTTCCTCCCCTGTGTCCAGACCGAGCGTGTGCCGCTGGACCTCAATCCTCACCTGGAGGAGACACTGGACTTTGGTGAGGTAGAAATGGAGCCCAGTGAGGTGGAAGACTTCGAGGCCCGTGGGAGCCGCTTCTCCAAGTCTGCTGATGAGAGACAGCGCATGCTGGTGCAGCGTAAGGATGAGCTCCTCCAGCAGGCTCGCAAGTGAGTCGCTTCTCCAGCCACGCTTGGCATAATCCAGGTCAAAAACCAGTGGCTAAAGGCCGTTGTCAGGCCCATGTCTTCTCTTTTTAAACAGACGCCAACAGTGAAAAGCCATTACATGCCACCCCCAAACTCAGATTTCGAGCCTCTCTTGAAAAACCAGAGCATCTGATAACACTGGGCCCAACTGGTCTACACCTCTGATGCTGGTGTCACTGGTCATCTCCCCTGGACCCCTTTGGCCACGCTTGCCAAGAGAGCACTTGTGTGCCAACCTGTTCTAAGTCCTTTATGTGAATTATTGTACCAGCTCCAAGAGGGAGCACTGTTAACCCATTTGGCTGACATAGAGGCTGGAGAGGTTAGCACTGGCCGGGCCCTGGCATCTCCTCCCAGGCCCTTCCTCTTGACCACTCTGCTTTTCAGCTGAGCGTTGTGAACACACACGGTGCATCTGTGTGTGACACCCCCATGGCTAGTGGCAGCTGCAGCAGGTGCATCTTGTGGATAGAGGGGTTTTGTCCCAGCTCTTGAGGACAGGGCTAGCACTGCGTTCATCCAGTGGGTTTGGGCCCTGGTGGACCCTGTCATTGTGGGGGTTCTGTGCTGCGCCTGTGGGTGGAGGGGACGGGCAGGAAGAGGCAGCGTGGAACAGCACTGGAAGGTTCCTCCCTGGTGCAGAGAGAACTTGCGCCCATCTGTTGGGGGCTGGATGTCTTTGTCATGGGTGGTGCTGAGTGACAGCTTCATGAAGGTGCCTAGACATGGGGAGTTGTGAAATCAGCCTTCTGGATGTGTTCCACAGTTCCTGTCTCTCCCATGTGAGAGAAAAAAACTCTTCTGTTTTTTCTAGGCGTTTCTTGAACAAAAGTTCTGAAGATGATGTAGCCTCAGAGAGCTTCCTCGCCTCAGAAGGTGCGTCCTCCGACCCCGTGACCCTGCGTCGAAGGATGCTGGCTGCCGCTGCAGAACGGAGGCTTCAGAAGCAGCAGACCTCCTAGCGCTCCCTTGCCTCCCTCAGCCGCCTCCTGCGGAGGAGGCCTGTCCCAGTTCTGCTCGCCGCGTGGAGAAGCGGGCTTGACTGCATTGCCGCTGTATAAAGCATGTGGTCTTATAGTGTTTGGACAGCTGACAGATTTAATCCTTCTTTGTAATACTTTCTATGTGACATTTTCTTCCCCTTAGAAACACTGCAGATTTTCACTCTAGCCATGATCTCTTCTGGTGTTGACTGGACTGCCTGGGGTGGGGGACGAGCAGGAGGCAGTGAGCAGTCGCCTGCCTGCAGGCAGCTTCAACTCCTGCCTCATGCATACATCCCACAAATGCAGGTGTCCTGAGCGCCACATCCAGCGGGAAGAGTGTGGGGGAGACGCCCAGTGTGAGCCCGCCCCCACATCATGGGGTAACATCTGTTAGCAAACTGCTGTCCTTGTGGAAGCGTGCAGACTGTGCCAGAGGCCAGACCCATGGGCTCCTGGACCCCTGAGCCAGCAGGGCAACTTGGAATAGGAAATCTTGGTTCAATACCTGAGGCAGAGCGGGGGAAGCCCAGGGCTGTAGGTGTGACAGAATCACCCGTTTCTGTCCCACTACATCCGGGACTGACTTTCTGAGACCCTAATCCAAAGCCAGCTTGATTTCCGTGACTCTGGTGCTCCTGCCTCTCATGAGTACGTGCCATGGGTTCCCTCCCCTCCCAGCATTTCCTTGTCCCCTGTGGACCTGGGGAGTGTTAAGCAGCAAGCTTTGGTTTATGGTTTTCATTTATTGGTCAAGTAAATTAGGCAATGCCGAAGCCTGTGGGTTTGGTCCTTGAACAAGATGTGGGCCTTGCCAGATGGGAGAGTAAACCTTGAAGGGCCTTACTGAAGAAATAAAAGATAACTTTTGTATCTTTTACCCCGGGAGCGCTACGTTTTCATAGCTGTGTTCTTCCTGGTTTAATTCAACAGAGACGGTAAGGTGTGAACCTATATGGCCTTGGAGCAGACCCAGGTCCCAAATCTCTTCAAATTTGTTTAACTTTAAGGATTTGAACCGTGCAGTCGTAGGTTACAGACTTCAGTTTTATGGCCATTGGATTACCTTTTTTTTTTTTTTTTTTTTAACTGTTTGAAAGATTTGTTTTGTGGTAGTCCTTTTGGGAAGAATCCAGTATTATCCATAATTATTGGCAAAGTTAAATGTATTTTACATAACTGAAAGTTTTTAGAATGTTGAAAAGTAATTGAAAAAGGTGATAGGTACATTTTTAGGCAAAGATAATTTATTTCAATAAATCTTTCAAAAGCCTTACCTTGAAATGCTGTTAGTAAATTTCTCTGATTTTTAAAAAAAACAATTTGTTTTGCTGAGAGCATAGCTATTTGTTTTTATTGTAAAACAATAATAATAATAAAAAGCAAACTCTACTAGTGTGCTGTGTGTGGCTGGAAGCTAAGGCAGCTTTTTCCAGAAGTGCCATTAAATCTCATTTTGATTTGGATTTTGTGAGCACTATTTTGGTTGGAGGGTTTTTTCCATCATTTTGAATTGAGAACTTTTATTTTTCCTAGTAATATATTTGGAGAGGGCAGAACTGCATTTTTCTTTCCCTTGTATTTATATGTTTTTTTTTTTTCAGGTAAGTGGGTAGCAAAAGATTCTTTTACTCTCCTGGAGTTATGTTATACTTTACACGTTGCCCCCATTATAAATGCTACTAATTCCATGTGTTTGCCTGTTTCTGATGTGTGAAAAGAAACAGTTGTTTAGATCGATTTTAGAGGGTCTTGACACGTAAAACAGCCATACCACACTGTTCGCTGCAGGAGCTTAAGGAGCTTGTAATGACCCAAAAAGCCAAGTCCTCAGTCCGCCGATCCATTTCACACCTGGACCCTTGAGGGTTTCGCCACTTTCTGGGGGCATCCAGGTGCCTCAGGTGCTGAGGGCAGTTATGACGGTGGGCCTCTCCTCCCAGGACCCGTTTCACTGCCCTGGATGGCTGCAGGGTCAGGCAGATGGCCTTCACGCCCAGTGCCTGGAGAAGCAACGCTCAGGCTGGGCTGTGGATCCAGGTTTGTAAGCTCAGCACAAGGCGTGGCCAGGTTCTCTGGTGGATGGTGGTTGAACTTCCCCTGGCCTCTGTGGGCTCTTTGGGAATGAGGCTGTGTTGCCCCCTCCATTTTCTTAGTGGCCCTGTTTTGTTGACCTCCTGGGTGCTCTTGAGTTTTTGTTTTGTTTTGAATTGTGAGGCTTTTATGTACCATAGAGGATGATGGAGCATATGGCTCTTTCACTTGTGTTGATGTGAATCCAGGTGCCCAGGCGGCCTCTTGGGCTAAGTAGACAAAGGGCTCTTTTATCTGTAGGCAGCAGACTTGATCCTCTCTGTGGTGGCTTTCAGTTCTGCTGGAGCAGGACACACATGGAAAAGGAAGCCACGGCCTTGCCGACAAGCCTTGGCAAAGAGCAGTGCCCGCCCGCCTGCCCTCAAAGGCCCTCTAGCATCTGGGCCTCCGCCTCGCAGGGCTGCTGCTTTTCTGTTAGGTTAGACGTGGCTCCAGCCTGGCTGATGTTAGAATCACTGGGGAGCCTTTAGGTGGAATCATTTACTGTCAACAACTGAGGTGAGCCGCCTCTGGCAGCCATTACACACAAGGTCAGGCCCTCATAGTGTGGGACAGAGCAGTCTCTGCGGCCAAGGAGATCCAGTCACGAAATCCAAAAGAGGGCAGAGTTGAGAGGAATCTGTCTGCAACTCTTGGGGTCCTGTGGGAGAAAAACAGGTTTCTCCCCAAAAGAGGGGTCTGTGGTGCTTTTTCTGTTTTCCTTAGGGCTCTGAGTCATTAGAGGTCCCCTCTAGATCTTTTCATGTGGTACCCAAGATGGCAAAGAGGAAGAAAGGGGACGGAGGAGGGGAAGTAAGCGGGAGGATGCTTAGGAAACGAAGCGCGCAGAGAGAACAAACACGTATTTATTTTTAAAGAGGGGGTTCCAGTTGACTAGAAAATAATGCCAAAAACAGGATCCCAAAAGAGAAAAAGTAGGAAGTCCTTACCAAGGTAAACATATATCTTGAATATTGGCTTTTAATTAATAGGCTGACTTCTAACTGTAGAGCTCTTTTAAAAAAAAGCCTTTCAAGCCTCTTATTACCTGATTTTAGGTGGGACAAACGGCTGATATTTCTTGATTTTGAGTCTTTTTAGCCAAAGATACTCTCCCAAGTGGCAAAGCCTTATCCCCAAACATCGAAAGTCACGCAAATATCAAACCAAAAGGGACTGATTCTCTGGGAATGGAATCGGCTGTAGCAGTGAAAGTGCCACTGTTGTTTCTTTGGTTTTTTTTTAATCTTGCAGGGGATCCAAAGCAGGCAGTTTGAGCATTTTAACTGATTTCAGATCTGATCTCAGCCAAAACGTTACGTTCTCTGGATGTTAACATTCCAACATCAGGGTCAGTCATTAGTCCTGGTTTAGAAAAACAAATGTGTTGGATCTGCATTTTTATAATCTCGATGGGTAGTTTTGTGTTCATTTCCCCCCTTCAGACAATTACTCTTTTAATTACCTTATTGCCCTAAGCAACTGCCAGCTAGGCAACAAAGGTGCTTCTTGAAGCCCTGTCTTCATTGAGTGGTCTAACTGGGTGAAAAACGGTTCGGAAATTGGCAGCCACGAGAGCCAGAAGAGGTTCACAGCGGCTCTGGGACTTTCTCAGTATGAGTTTCAGGGCGGAGATCAAAGACCTGCAGGGTTTCCAGAGGTAGCAATGATGGATATCTTTTTGTTTACCTCCTAAATAGAGGCAATTTTCTCAGAATTTCTTTTAGAAGCTTTTTAGGTGCCATTGGAAGTAAGTCTCCTATTTGATTTGGTTATAAAACTAGCTTTTTCCAATTGTGTGCGCAGATAAACTGGGATGGGAGAGGACACTGTGGAGCTTTAAAAATATATATAATAGATCAGTTCTGCCACCACTCCCCTTGCTCCAATTTAATTGGCCTTTTTGCTGCATCCTTTCCAAAAAATGCTGCAACCTCCTTTCTAAGAAAAATGAGGCAAAGAAACTTCTGTTGGTTTTGTCTGCAAAACTCATTTGAAAGTTGGGGAAGAACCCTATTAGAATATGGCTCAGTTTTAGAGAAATTCAAATATGCCATATATAGAAAATGTTAGGGTTTCCTTCAGCCTTCCATGTGGATCTTGGTTTGTTACAAAGTCAAGCTGTGGCCTGGATTGCAAACCTTCCTCTCAATAGAGAGTAGGTCATGTGCTCCTTTCTGCAGGTAACAAGTTGGAGTTTGGGGAACTGGGGGAAAGCAGAAGAGGTTTAAGGGGTGCCTGGACTGGTTGGGTATTTCTAACAGTACCCCTTGTTCTTCCATAGTCTCTGAAACCATGTCCCCTGCCTCCACCCCCTTGATTCAAAAGACTACTGGAACTTGCCCAGAGGGGCCTTTCTGAGCCTATAATTCCCATTTGTTGGAATGTGGAGAGGATTCCAGGTAACTGACCTCTTGGGGGCTTCCCCGTCTCACTGAAGACGCCATGACGCATGATGCTCTTGGCTGCTTGGCCAGTAAGTGGCACATGCACATTAGGCAAGGATTTCAGTGGGCTGCTGTCGCCTCCAGGTCCCTGTTGCAACGGATTTGCTAATTATCACAGCAAAAGCGGGCAATGTGGGGGGTGCTGAGACCTACAGGCTGGGGGAGGTACAGGGATCAGACTCCGTGTGCCCCACCAAATTGCTGGGTTACCCACTGTGTGTCCAGCCTGCAGGGGGCTTCCTGGCATCCAGGTGCAGTTGGGGTGCAAACCAAAGGCAATCTTCCTCGTCAGGCTGGGCCCAAGCTCCTCCTGGGCAAGTGAGTGGCTGGGACCTTTTGGGTGCAGATGGGCTCAGGCAATTGGCCTCATTCTTGGGACCACTCATCTTCCCACTGTGGGGGGGACCACTGGCTGCAGAAGAAACAGGATCCTGCGTGATAGGAGAGGAGGCTCACCTGCCCTCCTTGCATTTCTTCCTTCCTAAGCCTCACTTCCACCTCACTCTCGAAAGCAAAACCTCGTGAGGGTGAGAAGGTGCGGGGCACTAGGAGGAGAGGGCGTCGTGGGAGAATGGCGGCCCCCTGCCCTCGTTCCTAGGTGGCACTCGGCAGCAGTCGTCTCAACTGCACTCTGAGCTGGGGCCCCAATGACAGCACTGAGGAGATGGGCAGGACCTGTGGGGGACTCCTAGCCGCTGGCCTCCCAGCATGTGTGGCTGAGTCCCTCCTTCCCTCTCCTGCCAGAATGAAGCCCACCCCATGAAACCATCGTTGGAAGGCACAGGGTGAGACTCAGGAGTACAGACAAACATTCTCTTTTATTGAGCTACACAGGAATTTTCCATTAGTCAGAGAAGTAGACTGGCAGTGTGTAAGATATCACAGAAACCTCACCAATTGGGAATAGAAAGGCTTACAAAGACCCGTGGGCTTTTTTTTCTTTTTTCCTTTTTAAGTTTTTTTTTTTTTAATTTTTTTTCTGTGTTTTGTCTTTTTGCCTCCTCTTTATTTGAAATGGCTGTGACTGGTCTTCTTCAGCAAAGATTAAGTCTTAAAAGTGAAACCGTGAAGAGGTTTGGGGTTTGGATATTAGTCAAAGAAATGACAGGTTTGGTCATGAAAACGGTGGCTTTAATGTAAACACTACATTCCATCTTTTTAAATTTTTTTGTGTTTTTTTTTCCATCTTGTGGTATTTAAAAATTTTTTTTTGTTCTTTTTGTCTGCAGCACAAACATCCCCACATGAGAGAGCGGACACGGGTCACCAAAAGAAAGGCAGAGGTGGGGAGGGGCGCGCGCACGAAGGAGGGCGTCGGCAGGGACTGGAAATCCAACACAGCGAAGGGAAAAGCCACAGACTGTTTCCCAAGGACGAGGAAAACTGATCTTCGGGGGGTAATACATCGTACTCAGCAGGACAAAAAACAAAAACTAAGAAAACAAAAAACCAAAAAAAAAAACAAACCCCACAAAGGCTATCCATAGAGAGGGGGTCGGTGGGCAGATTGTTTTCTATGGGGCTGGATTTCCATATACGATGGATGTTCTTTTTGGCAGCTACTGGCCAGTGAGAGCTGTGCTTTTTCTATACAAACCTGGAGTGAGTGTGTGGCAGGAGTGGCTTAGGGCCGCAAGGTGGCGTCTGTGGTGTCTGGGCGGCCGGCAGGCAGCAGGGTTTGCAGTGGCCTGTATGGCCTTCTGGAAAGCCCGGCCTGAGCACACTCTGGACCAGTGCACCGCACGGGAGCCCCAGGTGGCAGATGGACCTGGCACCCCAGCAGGCGCGCCAGGGGCCACATCGCAAGGTGGGATGGGGGCAAGCATGGGTGCAGATGGGTATGTTTTATTTTGCAAGAAAAAGAAAAATATG